TGGACCTCAATTAGACTAACCAACACCACAATACTCATCGCAAACGATATCCAAAAGATGAATAACTGGCTCATAAAAAACGCATACACAACACTGGGTGGTGCTACATGGAAACAAATCCTCGAAATACCAATGGGTCTAAGTTGCTCACCAATGTGGTTCTACTTCTTTCACTACGAATACAAACCATCCTTTGAGTGTTGTAACCCCTGTAGAAATAAGACTACAAGAGTGTGGCTCGGTTGCGGGCTGATAGGAGACGGCGATTTTTAGACACACTGCTTTCTTTTATCACTATTACGATCCTTCTTATTGTATTCTCTATGGCGGGTGCGTTTCCTTCTCGTAGCTGCTATAACTGTGGCTCGCCTCATCACTTTTTCCGGGAATGTCTACAGCGAGCCGGTGGTCAACGGCCTCCGGCGACCGGTGYCAACGCTGTCCCTACCGGGCAGCCTTTGCTAGCGCTTCCTGCACCTGCGGCGAATGGAGATGCGGCGCCTGCTGCGGCTCAGCAAACTGCGGGCAATACGGGAGGCGGATACCAGAACAATTGTTACCAGTATGGGGGGCCGCCACGTAATAATTTTTKGAGATCTAATCAAGAGCGGTTGGACAAGGTGTACAATAGGTACTTGCTGGACATGGAGAGGAATCCAAGCTTAAGGAGGAGGAAGAGAGAGCTAGGAAGGACAAGGAGGAAGAAGAGAAGAAGGAGGAATGGAGGAAAGAACGAGAGAAGTTGGAATCAGAAATGTCTGCGAGGATCGATATGCGAATGGATGCGGTGTGCAAGTCGGTTAAGGTCAATCGCCCAACTGAGGGAGAGTGCAGCGCGAAGGGTGAGGACGAGGTTGCCCGACTGAAGCGGGAGAACGAAGAGCCCAAGCGGGCTCTGCGGGGTGACACAGATGATGGGAAGGTATGTAAGCTAGAGCGGGAGATTTTGGAGTTGCGTAAGCAGGTGAACGAAAAGGAGAGTAAGAGAGACGAGATTGTGGCACTCACGCATGAGATCCAGCAACTGCATGAATCGGCGGTTAAGGAGCAGGAGTTAGCCGGGCTTAAGAGGCAGTTAGAAGATCTGCGAATTGAAGCGCGTCAGTGGAAAGATGAGGCGCTGAGGCCAGGAAACAAACGAGGCAGCATCGCTTTGTCTACCCCGGATGCTAATGCGCGGGCGTCACCTATGCCACGTCGCACTTGTGAAAAGGAGCAGGAGCAAGATTGGAGATCGGAATATAGGAAGCTGCAAAGTTTGCGCCGAGCAGATTTTGTCGAAGTGGAGGCGCTTAAGAGAAAGAAGGCACAGACTCAGATGGAGGTTGTCAACCTGCAGAAGCAGATGAACGAACGGAACGCTATTGAGGTTGGAAAGGAGATGACGCCGGGAGGAACCAATCTGAAGGAGAGATTGGAGGTTGTTGCGCTTGGGACAGCCCGGAAAGGTAGGAAAGCCACTCCGAATCGAGAGGGGCTGAGGCCTACACCGCGCCGTGAGGAAGAGCCCAACTCGAAGCAGGAATGTAATGATCGCACTACTTTTGTTGAAGAGCAAACCAAGTTTTTGAAGATGATGAGGAAGTYTGCGTTGGAACAAATCTGCAAGGAGGCGGGGCTGAAGGCTGGGAAAGTGGATGAAATGATTGAGGATATTGTGCAATTCCGGGTTAAGAATGCATTTGGAAAGAAAGACGAGAAGGAGCCGGTGGAGGTTGTAGACGTTGAATCGTCGCATGACGAATCCACAAGTGGTGGTGACGAAGTCTCCCTTGAGCTCTAGTGAATCTCCCGAACGTGGCTACCTTGTGGTCATTGGCCTTGCTTTGTAGGCAACGTAGATCTTCCTTTAGTTCAGTTGTTGGGACGCAYTCCTTTCCTCCGTCATTGGTAAGTGTYRGTGCTTCTCTTTTGTYCGGGTCTTTTYGGTGCTCGGCTTCTCTGTCCACTCAGGGAGTGTCTTCCGAGGATTGTCTGATACGTGACAAGGAGTTCAATGCCTTCTTTCGTTTGGTGGTGATTTGGCTTATATTGAAGGGGGAAGTTCCGTGGGCTACTAAATTTGGCTCGTATTTACCTGAGCTTCTRTATTCGGATTTTGACSTGGAAGAGTGTCGTGGTCCTCTTGTTTACGTGTGAGTCTCCCCCTGGACTCACCATCTCTACGTTGGTTYTACTTCTAGATCCTTGCATGTTAGGTGGTGTGAGCACGTGTATCGTGCTTGTAATTTGAAGGTTGTTGATGATGGAGGACATAATCACCGCCTGTATGCGTGGCTTCGTCGATGTTGCGTTGGTTCTTATGTGGCGATTCCTCTTTTTGGTTGCTCTATTGAGGATATGTTGGGACTGGAAAAGGATTRTATTTGCAGTCTTAATCCTTATCTCAACTMTAGGGACCGACGGAAGAAGGGAAAGAAGAAGARACCTGGGCTGCGTGAACGTATCAAGCGRAGTAGATCTGGTATGAAAGTTGTGGCTGGTCAAACCTCTGACAGACATCTGGTCTTTCGCTCGTCTGATGGAATGGTGTCCGCATCTCTTTCTCGCCTTYTTGAGTACTKCATGGAKTCTAAGGTGCGTAAGGTTGGTATTGAATGTACCGGTGGGAATAGGCTGGCAGAGAACCGGAAAGTGCTTCAACGAAAATTTGGTTCCTCTATCGTACGTTGTGATGGTTCGGTGGAACTCTTTCGTAAGGCTAAAGGCTGGCTGCTGGTTGGGCTGTTCCTGATCTTTGATCCTGTCGTTATTTTCTGCTCTCGGTCCSCGATCTTGATCCCTACTTTGGTTGGGTTTCTGTCTAACCYGGCCTCTCGAAGGATTTTGTATTCCTRGGATTTGGGGATGTTAATYAACGAGTTCTCGGCTATTTGGGGTCTTTCTGCTAAGCGCTCTCGGTATTCTCTACGGGTCATCCTCTCTGGTTGTATTCGTAGGCGATTTGGTGTGTATGTACGACGGAGGCTTACGGTTCGAGTCACCTTTGACGACAGATTGAGCAAGCCAGGTATTCGTGAGTGTTGCACTAATCTGATTATGGGAGCCGACACCTTGTTTGAGTGGAAAGCAATGGTGTCGAGGAGGATGAGAGTGGTTTGGCTCAAGAACAAAAGTGTAGGAGATTTGCTGTTCGATTTTAGGGTGGCTGCTAGAGAAAGAGAAGGGGTGTGCGCGTGTACCGATCTGGACACTATGTTTCCTAGGACWGGTGGACATGTTTGCTTTGGGCTTAATGAGTTGGGGATGGTTCCTTCGTGGATGAGGAATAACAAGAATATTCCACGACCGGATRGGACTAACTTGATGTCAYGGTTAARGAGACARTTGGATGGTACCATGCAAGAACTTGAGTTTTCGGTTCCCACTGTCACCAGAGTTTGGTTGATGGGTTGCCTTCTGGATGGTTGCAGAGAAGGTGGCGATGATTGCACCTTTGATAAGGTTCTGGAATRGAAGAGAAGATTCCAGGGTTTGGTGAAGGTGCCTATTGATCATAATGCAGGAGACACCCTAGTGTGCTGCCCATATGGGAATTTCGAAATTGTTCTTAGATAACCCTGGGTTTTGTCGGGACACTAGGGAGGAGGATAAGTTGTTGATTGATATGGGGAGCAGTTACAAGGAGCAAGGGCTCGCCAGATTCGCAAAATGGGATGCTAAGGGGAAACTGGGTAATGCATATGTCGTACCAAAGCATAAGGATGTGGGCAAATGGCGGCCTATCTGTYCCTCTTTTTCTGAATGTGGGGTCAGGGCCAGTAGGAAGGTTTAGCGAGTTATCAACCAGATGGTTTGGGATTTGTTCGCTGGGTCGCATTTCAACTTGAAGAGTACTGACTTGCTACGGGAGGGCATTCAACGTGTTAACACTCATTTGAAGGAAGGTGAGGGATGGGTGACGGCGRCATTTGATATTAAGGAGATGTTTTGTAMTTTGCCGCACTCATCTATAATGCACGTTGTCGATTGGATCACCGATTTTTGGGCATCGAAAGGAATGAATGGCGCGCTGATAAAAAAAATGGGTAAAGGGGYCAAGCTGCAGAGAGGAAGGAAACAGGAAGGGTGGGATTCAGTTGATTTTCAGACGGTTCGTGAGTGTGTCAGCTTCGATTTGCGTAATACCTTTGTCAAGGTGGCTGGTATGGTTCTGCGGCAGATTGTTGGCATCCTGATGGGGAAACCCTCTAGTCCTGCTCTTGCTTGTCTGCTCTGTGCGCATTCTGAGTTTGTTTTTCTGTCTTCGATTGGGAAGGATCGAAGATTGTTTCATGGGTTACGACTTGTTGATGATGTTTCTGTTTTCGCAAAGTATAAGCTTGACGAGGTGGCGAGGGCAAAAGCTGAGGATTTGGTTAGACTTTTTGAGAAGAGTTATGACAACAATTTGYTTTTGGAATGTACCAACCGTTCGGAATGCTGGGAGTTTTTAGGATGTGTAATCAAGGATTTCGGTTTCCCGGTGGGGGTCAGGTGTGCTGCTGTGCACAAGAATCGGAGGGGGATCCTGCAGGGCATTCAATTTCAAAACCTGCAGGACGCTTGCTCTTATACTAGCAAGCAACAAAAGATGGCAGTTGTGGGACCCTTTCTGCATCGTGCATTGCGTTTCACCAGTATGTCGGGTGCGGAGCTGTGTTTTCTCTTCTCTTTGAAGGTCGAGTTGAGGCTTCGGGGATTTAGAGAYGAGTTTTTTGACAATGTGTTGAGGATTTTTTCTGGTAAATTTGGAGGAATTTGGCAGCATTGGGTCGRTTGTTTGACGGGATGGGACAGGTTACCTTCTGTTACTGATGTGCCTCGTAATTGGCAGGGGGCAAGTGTTTCGAGGGGTCTGGCGGTGGGCCTACCGTGGGGAGTGACCGCTTTGCATGATGCTGTACTTTCCAGTCTTGTCGGGATTGAGTCTTGAAGTTGACGATTGAGACCCGGTAGGTTTTCGGTAGGACTTTCTTAGAGTACTTATAGGGCCAACCACATTGGTTTTGTATCCGTGACGCTTAGACCCGCGATGAGTTCGGCACTGGCGGCCGAGCGAAACATGTCGGGTCCCKCGCCAGATKCTCGACTTGCTCTTCACKTGTTGGCGTGTTGGCGCCATCATTCGGTCCGGGCTGATGGGTTGTGCTTCATTCATGTTTTGAAATCCCATCCTGTCSCGTTCGGGTTCTTGTACCAGCGTGTTGGCCGGTCTTGTGCTCTCCTCCTTCCTCCTTTTTCTCTCTCTCTCTTGCTCTCTCTGCTCTCTCTGCTCTCTCTCTC